GTCAGTATCACGGACCGAGAAAGTAGAATACTCCGCAACCGGGATATATCATTTGTGAAAGTCATGTGGCAGAACCACACGCCCAGGGAGGCGACTTGGGAACTGGAATCAGAATTTAGGGCCCAATATCCCCATATGTTTGATCAAGAGTAATGAGGCAAATTTGGGGACCAAATTTCTTTATGGGGGGGGAGAGTTGTAGCGCTCGGACCAAGGGGAAAAAAAAAAAAAAAAAAAAAGCCACGTCGACAGCCACGTCAGCAAGCCCGGTCAGCAGTCCCGGCCAACCGGGGCCTGCCACGTGGCAAGACCACGTCGCTCCTGAACGGGCCACGTTGGCGATCAGCGTGGGCGCGATCGGACGGCCCAGATCAATCGCGCAATCGGACGGCCCAGATACAATCGCACGGACGGCCCAGATTTAATCAAAAACGGACGGCCCAGATTAAAACAAAATGGACGACTGAGATCAAAGGGCAAGGGGTTATAAATAGAACCCCCACACCAGACCACAAACCCTAGCCGCCTGCCGCTCGCCGGAGAAGACGAACCAGAGGCCGACCACCGCCACCCGCCGCCGCACCGGGGAAATTTCCGACCGCCGATCGAGGTAAATTTCATACCCCCGACTCGTTTTTCCACGCTGATTCCTCCTATGGCCAAATCGAAACCAAAATCCCGGCCAAACGGCCGGAATACGCGGCTGAAGACTAGCGGCGCCGCCGCGCCCCCTCTCGGTTTTTGCCTCCGACGAGGCCCTTCCCGGCCTCCGTTTGATGCAATTTTTATATCACCGTGATCACCATTCTTTTCTCTACAGGTTGACCGGAGCCGAATCACCAAAACACGAACCTCACCGGAGAGCCGTCGCACCCGAGAGCGCCGCCGCCGGTAAGCTCCGTTTTTCTGTGATTTTTTGGCCCCCCGAGGGCCCTAGGGTTGTTTTCTCACAGGGACCGATGCGAGTGTGGCCGAATTCGGCCGAAAACAGCCAACCCGAGGTGACTCGCCGCCGCCAGCGGCGGCGCCGTCGCCGGAGCACGGCGGAGCCGCCGTGCCGGAGTTGCGATTTGGGCCGAAAGAGGCCCTGGGCCTAATTTGGATTTTTTTGGAACACGTGCAGGTACCGTTAATGTGTTTCAGTTCCCTGGAAAAAATTCAGGGAAAATTAGGGACGGCCTGTAGGCGCACTGTGAATCGTATTCGGATCCCGAAAACAAGTAAGGACCCCTCACCCTATTTCCTATCACGGTATTAAAAGTTCAAAATGATAAAACGGTATTTCTTGAATTAACGAATGTGTAAAATTGCTTAAGGTTGCTAATGGAGCCCGAGTCTAGTGTGATTGATGATTTACTGTTATTTGGCCTGTTTTACAGCTTTAAATGCAGTATGAGGTTTGATGTGTTTATTTTATAGTCTCGTGTGCATATATTACGTTTTTATTGGTTATGGGTTGAATGACTGAAAAACTGATACCGTATGTTGTCTGTTTGGCATGAATTACGATTTGCTTGTTTAAAATGTGAATTGATAATGCTTACTGAGGAAGAGGAAAATGAAAGATTGTGTAGACTGATAATTGTATGATGGGGTCAGCCTGACTAGATATCCTGGGAGATGGTGGACGGACTGGGTCCGTAGGGAACCCTACCGGGATTGGGGTCTCACATGCCGGACGGGGCATGGAGATCTTATGTGTTTTGGCGCCCATACCGGACGGGGTATGGGGACGGCCCGTTTCACCCTCATACCAGACGGGGTATTGAGGTTTATGGTTTTGGCGCCCATACCGGACGGGGTATGGGGACGACCCGTTTCACCCTCATACCGGACGGGGTATTGAGGTTTATGGTTTTGGCGCCCATACCGGACGGGGTATGGGGACGGCCCGTTTCACCCTCATACCGGACGGGGTATTGAGGTTTATGGTTTTGGCGCCCATACCGGACGGGGTATGGGGACGGCCCTGGAAACTGATTATGAATGTTAAAGGTTAACGGGTAGCGGGACCCCTAGGGACCCCCATGGATACTAGTAGGCTGGAAAATGAGAAAAGGATATGTGGTATAATGATTGAATTACAAAAGGCGTGATAAGTGCTATGTTTTACAACTTATATTATTCCATGATTGTGATAATGTCATTGTTTTTCTTATATTGTTTCATGAATTCCACCGAGGTAAGTGGATGGTAAAAGTTTTATCATAAATAAAAAGATTTGTTGTAAATCATGCTCCATTGGTCTTTTGTGTTTTTCTACCCACCTTTACCTCCGTGACGGTGAGATATCGTGATGTTCTTACTGGGTTAGTGTAGCTCACTCCTTATTTAACCATTTCAGATCAGGAGGACATGGTTCCCGAGCCCGTTCCGCAGGAGGACGACGAAGGGGATGCTTAGAGATTCTGTAGTCATACTCATAGTTCTATTTTCGAGTTTCTCTTTTAGTTAGTTTAATCTTTTATATTTTAAGTACGTTTTTGGTTTTCGTGTAAGGGATGTTAACTGAAATTTTGATCTCGCTTCCGCATTTTATGTGTTTAAATACTCATTTCATTTTCACATTTCCGGGGTCGTTACATGATCTCCTCAAGCGATCTGATTCGGGCCGTCCATTTTTCTTGATTTTCTTTGTCCCTTTCTACTTTCACTTATTTATATTTTTTGCCCCTTTTTTCTCACATATTTTCATTTAAATTTTAATTCTAATTTTATTGATTTATTTTATATTTCTTTTGTTTTTTCTGGGTAGATATTATATTAAATATCATCTTTTACTTTTCTAAAACATCCCAAAAAATATTATGACGTACAAAATTGAAATGAATGATATTCTCTAATAAAGAAATTTTAAGAAATTAAAGTTCAAACTCAAATTGTTAACGATGATGAATTTAACTCTTAAATAAAAAATAATGATTACATACTTTTTATGATATAGCATGTTCTCATATCATTTGTATCTTATCATATGGTTTATGATGAATTAGAATTAGCTCATACAATTCAAACAATTCTATGTCATGATTATAGAAAAGTCAATGTTTACTAAAAAGTCATACGACATTTATCTTGTATAATTGTATGTTCACTAAAAAGTCATAAGACATTTATTTTATATAATGGTTTCTTTATGTCATGTCTATTGAAAACTTTTTCTTCCCTATAAATTAAATTTAGTAACTCACATAATTAAATAGATTATTAATATAAATGCTATACGACGCCAACATTTACTCGTTATACACGAAAAAATTTATTATTTTTTTAAAACCACCTTAATTATGACAAGAAGTAAACATCTATCCTTTATCAATCAAATATACTTCAAAATATGAACTATTCACGAGATTAATTTAGAATTAAAAAATAATTTTTAAAAATATTAGAATTTAAAAATGAATATATTTAAAAGAGTTAAAAAAATTAACACTTTTTTTTTTTTAATAATAATTATGAATCAACACAATAAAATATGAAAATATTATTTTAAGAAATTATTATTTTATATTTTAACTACGCTAATAAATTTGTTTCAAAAACAAAACAAATAAAATCAAATAAATGTTGTTATCTTTGTAAATTCTATTACTACTAACACAATAAGATTTTATTTTCCTTTCACAAATCATGGCTAAAAAAATACTTAATTAATTTTATTTTTATTTAAATAAATTACAGTTAAAAAATTAACTAATATAGAAAGTACAAAGACTTTTTGTTGTCATTTTATTTAAACTAAACATAATAAATATGAAATATTACTAGAACATTATTTTTATTTTTAGTATATATGAGATACTAATATTTTATAAAAAAGGGTAGGTGTTTAAATTTATATTGTCAATTTGTCACATTTCAACTTTAATCTGATTTATATAAATTAAGATTATTTACTTTTTAACTTGAAAAATATAATTTTAGAAGTACAAGAATCAATTGACTATTTTTAGAAAATATAATTAGCATATTATTATTAAAGTATTTATAATTAAATATATCTAGTTTTAATAAATATGGTAAGATAATTTTATGAGAAGGGTAGATACCAATTTCCCTGAGTAAAAGAAAATCTCACTCTCCAACCTGTGACCAAAATCAGATAAAAGAAGAGATGAAGAATTATTATTTCCACTAAAAAGCTCAAACACTCTGATACCAATTACATGACAAAGAGAGACACACACAGGAAATACGAGGAAGAGATGAGACAGATGAGAAACAAACTGGGTTTCATGTTCGGAATGCCTGATTACACATGTTAATCGGGTGTTTTTGTACCCGATTCGATTCAAAGACGAAACTCAACTTAATCACACATAACTACACAATCAATCCCTAATTCTCAATTATTGGCACGCTTAGTATCCCAATTTCTCTGTTTTACACATATCACAGTCCTGTGCCAGTTAAATATCCATCACTATTCAGTACTTTGGGAATATGTTTTTTGGCATTATATATAAGATTAATACTTCTTCAGATTATTATCTTTTAACTCTTTTAATTTTAATTATTTAGCCTAACTTCATACATGTTCTTGCTCAAAAGTCCCTTATTGAGTATAAATATTCAGTAATAAGACTAACAGCTTCACATAAAATGCCCAAAAAAAATCAAACTGTCAAGTATGAACAGCCAGAAAACAAACGACAAATACTAAACTGCTGATAAACTAAATCAGAAAAGTAAACTGTAATTTTCCTTTTAAGAATACAAGACAAAAAATTCTAACCCCGACAATAGTGGGCCAACCCTCTTTTGTAAATGCTGCGCTTTATGAAGGACAAAATAATTCAAGAACAAAGAAACAGAAGAGACTAGTAACTGTCAATCTGCCAAGAGTCCTGACATCAATAATGCCACTACCACACGTTGAATATCCTTCATTATATACTAGCGATTTCAAAATTTTGATAATGGAAGAAATAATTTAAAAAAAAAAATAGAATCCACTTATTTGATCTGATTCTGAGAGCACTTGATGTACAAGCAAATGAAAATTTTCCACCACATTTTATTTCGTGTTCCAGATTAACCTGAGACTGCTAGGTACAAAAACAATGATATGTCATTTATCATGAATGATATAGGATCTTTGTGCACATATATTTGTAAATTAACGATCACTAGATATATTCTGTATCACATTGTACAATGTAGAACCCTTGCAGATAGCCTAAACCCACCCGACAACCCTGAGGTAAGGATGAAGGCGATTAAGACACAAGCACCCAAAAGTAATACAAAATAACATCCTTACTTGCTCAACCAGTAGATAAAAATGAGAAACGTGCACACTGATGCAACAAGGGAAAGTATGATTGTGTCCATGGACTTTTTCCTCTTTATTGCTGAAAGAATATGATTTACCTGCACCACATCAAGATAGCATTCTGATCGATATAACACAAACCAGACCAAGCAGAAAGAATAAACATGTTCTTGAAATGATCATCTTGCTCAATAATTTAGCATTTCGATCAGTCTGCGGATCTATTCATTCTTAGAGATTCATGAATGGCAACAGCATTTCTTCTAGCATCTTCTTAAAAAGTGCATAGGACATGAAAAGATTGAAAGGTAAACTGAGCAACTGAAGAGATGACACGTATATGTGCAACAGAGACCAGTGCAGTACGCCAAAAGCCATCGGACATAAAAGTTATTTATATATTGAAGAAAGCTGTAAATTTTATTTTATGGTTCTTTTCTATATTATTACATAACTTATAGGGTTGGATACTAAATCAGTATTCTCCAAAAATGAAATAAAAAATATACATCTAAAAGGTTTAGAAAAGTTTCCTCTATTTAGGATTCTAATATCAAATGCAGATC